ACCCAACCTTTACATAAAGCCTAATTGTTTTTTAACCTGTTTCTCAAAAAATATAGACTAATAATATTTAAAGTAAACAAGAATAAAATAAAAATTAATTTCACAAATTTTGGGCTCAAATATAAAAGTGCATTATCTTTTTCTTTTCTAATCGGCTAACAAAGAGTCATAAACTTTTCACTTTTTTAAAAACCTCAAATTACTAGGTTCGCTTCTTAACTTTTTACATTCTATTAAAAAAAAAGCCAAAATATTATGAAAAATGGTTGATCACCATTAACGGAATGCAAGAGCTTTGCCTAGAACAAATATCACTCTAGAATTTTTCAAAATGATGCTCATAGGAGCTTTCTCTCATGACCAAGTGGTAAGTTTGTTTTGAAAGTTTGGAACTCTCTCAAATATGCAAACGATAGGCACATACAAATGATATACATGTTTTAATAACATAAACTTTTCTCTTTTGTTCTTGATTTTGAGTCTTTGAGAGTGAAAACACATGAAAAACTGCATGAACTTAAATAATTTAATAGATTTAGGTTTTCATACATTTTTCAACGAAATTAGGGTTAATAGACACTAAAAAGCTTAAACTCTATGTTTTTAAATATTACTTTTCAATCTGATTTTCTTTGGAAAATTTATCACCTTTTTAAGGCTTTAAAAAAATTTTTCTTTATCTCAAAATAAGTTTTACATAATAAATTTTCAAATCCATATTTTTTTCATTTTGTATTCTGTAATTGCTCTTTTGTTTATTTAATATATTTATGTATTGTATCTGCTTTGCATATTTTATTCAAATTAATTTTAAGTAGTTTACTGTATCAATAGGAAAGTTAGGCAAGTAATATGCTTATATTGGTTCGATTTGCTTATGTATTCTATTTTCTTTACATGTTTTGTTTCTTTGCTTTACACAGTAAACTTTCATTTTATGCTCTATAATTTTTTTGCTTATTGGTCGCATACATAAAAAATTTTCAAATACAAATAGCTATTTAACTTTGTTTAGATATTGTAAACTACTTGATTTTTTTTACTGATATAATAAATTTGATTAAAACTTTCAGCATCTGCCAAAAGATTAGTTAATCGCTACATAAAAGATGTTGAAATCCCAAGAACTACCTATCTTAAAGGTTTAATCCCAGTTGCATTTAATGTCAAAATGGTTCGAATGAATAATAATGTTATACTTTTGCAATGGATGGCAATTGTTTCTCATTATTCATAATGTTGAATTACATGACTTTCTTATGTTCAAGATTAACCATGATGCCACATTCGATGTCTATTTTTATGATATGAGTACTACTTTGATGACACTTAATGATCTACAAATAAGGAAAGGTAACATTTTATTTCTCCTCGTAAAATATATCTAAAATAAGAAACTAAATACACATTATTTTTTCCTGTAGATAAACAATGAAACAACTAGTAACAATAACCTTTTGAAGTTATTGAAATTGAAGATTCAAGCTCAAATTCAGATTCAAACAATGATCTTTCACTTTTTCAATGCACAATGACTCCAACTAGGGTGCGAACATCTTACATTTTGGTAAAAAAATTCCTTATAACACTTTAATCATAAATTATTATGTTATTTATTTACTTTTCTTTCATTTTACATACATTAACTTTTCTACATATACGAAATGAATACTTTTATAAAAATATGTTTTATCACTGCAATATTTCACTTATTCTTGGACTACCAGTAAGTTGTAAAAATTAAGTTTTATTACTTTAATTAACTTCTGTTTAACATAATGATCTTATGACGATAGCTTTACTATTATACTAATATTTAAACCTTTAGTGATCAATAATGTATTTTTTTTACCTGCCTTATCATTTCTAATTATTCATATTAGTGTGAATTTGTAATTGAACAATCTTTATTATACTTCTAATGAATACAACTTTTACTTTTCATATAGTTTGTTCTTGCACCGTTTGGTAAACGCTTTCTTCCACCTTATCTAACAGATTTAATCCTTTCAATTCCAAAAGAAGAAGTAGGATCATCTAATCAAAACATTGGTGGTTGCATGAATCAACAGCAAATAGAATGGTCTATTAACTACATTCACATTAAAAAAACAAAAGTTTCTTAGGTGGCTAGCTTCATTTTGCAATTGACAATGATTTCAATCTTGGAGATCAATGTATATTTCAGAAGACTAAAGCAAACAAGTTTGATGTTTTGACCTAGTGCACTGGTTAATTAGGAAACCATGTTAATGACAGTGTTGTCATTTTGTTAAATAGCAAATTTACTCTTCTGATGTTATCATTTTGTTGAATAGCTATTGATGTTCTCATTTTATTAAATAGTTGTTAAATAACAAACTTACTCCTCTAATGTTATCATTTCATTAAATAGTTGTTGATGTTATTATTTTGTTAAATAGCTATTGATGTTCTATTTTTATTAACAAAAACTCTTAACTCTTACTTCTATACACATAACATCTTCTTTTTTTTTTGTAAATGTGATTTAGCTATAAAGAATATCTTTTACAAATAGTAAATAGGACTTTAAAATGTATTAGTAAGAATGAAACACTTACTTTCCTATATTTATCATCTAAAACATTTGCATCCATACAAACATCATTGTAGACCCATTTGAAGTGGCAACCATAATATCACCAAAAGCTAGATTCATTGGCTTATATATTACAATGTAAGGCCTTAAATTGGATCTCATACAAACATCTCTTTCATCAGATTTCCTACCACATATTCCTTTGCTTCTTCCTCTATTTTTTGTTGGAGATGAAATATGGTTATGGGTTTGTTTTGTGTTAATTGTTTCATGAGCAGCTGGTGATATTATGATTTCAACTTCTTTCACCAAAAATATATTTACTCTACAATGAACAAATAGAAGTTTACTTTTTTCCAAATAAAGTTTTAATAATTTACAAGATAAAATATTTTATTACTCAACAGAAAATTAAAAAAATTAAAAATAATATGCAAATTATTATAACAACTCTTTCTATAAAAAAATAGATTTTTTGCAAAAAATATAAAATTATAAAAATATCTAATAAAAAATGATTAAAAAATTAATAACACATTTTTGTTTAACAATATACATATTAATAAAAAACAACACACTATAAATTACTATAGCAACTTTTTCTGTAGAAAAAAAATATAAAAACATTACGATTTCAATAAAAAACTAAAAAACTAATTCTACAAATACAACCCATATACCTAGCTTTTTCAATGATCTCAAACCATAGGCCGTCGTATATTAAAACAAAACCCAAATACAAAATTTCTGCTAACCCATAAAACCATTCCATACACCACAAACCCTACCAAACTCCCATTTCAGAATCAATCCTCCACAAAATAAAAAAGAAAAATGGCAGCTTGCACTTCTTTTCATAGTCAAAACCTCCAGCAACCATTACAATTCCTCAAACATTTGACTAATGAAAGTACCATTCAAGATTTCATGGTAAAAATCTTTTCAATACAATCTTATTTCTTTAAATCATAAATAATTAATTCTTTTTATTCACCTTTTATATTTAATTTACTTTTATATTTCATTTAGGGTTTCAAATTATGTTAACCCATATATATAATTTTCATTTATCTTCACTTATAACCATATCTTGAAATCTATAAAGATCAAAAAGAGATAAAAAAGGATGCTATCGTTAGAACATAGGTTAGGCTAGATGTAGAGTCAAAAAAAGAATTAGAAATAAATAATATATAGAAAATGGAAAATCATAAAAAAATTCTAACTTCTTTTCTTTTTATTTTAATTGAAAAAAATAACAAGTAAACAAAATCAACCTTTTAAATGCCTTTCATGCATTTTCTTTCTTATTTATACATAACAAAATTTTCATGTCTGTTTTAGATTTTCATTACTATGTCAAACCATATCTAATTACAAGAACTTCCAAAGAACTTTACTCAACAATATATGTCAACAGTTTAAATTCCAACAACTCTACACATAAAGAGTTTTTTGCCAAATACATTCAAAATAGAATTGACAAAAATCAACGACCAATTATACTTTCAAAATGGATGGCATTAATTTGTAATGTACATCATCTTGCACATCAAAATACTTAACTTTTACATACAACAATCCAAACACTTTTAAAGCATTCCTGTATCTTGAATCATCTACTACTATAACAGCAAATGCCCTGTAACAAGAACAAGATAAAATCTTCATTTCATGTGCATTATATTTTCAATTCACTTAAATTACGCCTATTATATTTTGTGTTTTAACTTACAACACTTAATTTTACTATGCAAAAGATTAAAATGATGATTATTGTGACAGTCCTACTTTTCATTTTTTGATAATCAGCATAAACGTCAATACTCATCTCATCTTGGTAAATAATTATATATATACTATTACCATATAACATAGTAAAATATACATTCAAAATTTCTATTGACAATTTCTTACACATTGTTTCTATAGCACATTCCAAACTATTTTTATAAACATCTGTTAAACAAACATTCTCCTATCACTTTATTAAATCTTGAAGAAAATAAATTTGAGATCATACATTACAATGCCAAAAACAAATTATTCTTAAGAGGATGAAAAAAATTTATCATTGATGATTATTGTTTATTTGCAATGATAGCACATAACAATTTTAAAATAATTATCTATCCTAACTATGAATGAACTTTTCAATAATCAGTTATAGCTATAAATTAAGTATTTTATTACAGTTTTTATTTAATAACAGCTATTTTTAAAAACTTTCTAATTTCAAAATGTACATCTAATATTATCTATTTAGTTTTGTAGTAACTTTTTCTTGTCAATTATTTTAACAAACCTTTGTACACTTAGCAATATTAACTTTATATTAAGTTATAACTTTATATAAATTGTACATATTATTTTAAATTTTAATTCAATTAAATATTAATTTAATAAAATACTAAAACTTAATTTAATACATGAAGCAGGGTTTCGATACTATCGCAGTTAAAAACCCCATTCCTTTTCTCGATCAGAAATCAAATCAGAATAAACATAGAGACTTCCTCTAATAGAAAAAGGGCAAAGCTTTTCTGTCTTTATCGAGAAACTTCCTCTGCTCTTCTGTGATAAACCCTAGTCGATGCACTAACCATAATTTTCATTTTTCTTAATGTTTTAAGGGGCGGGTTTTTTTATGCCTGCCTTTTCCTGTCACCCTTTATTAACAAGATTTTATATATTTTATCTTTAGTCTTTAAAGATTACCCTTGTTTCTCATATATATACACTGTTGGGTTTCTCTTTTTCCCTTTTATCTTTGCTTACTTCAAATGGATGTTTTGCTTCCATAGCTGATAGCATCAAATATGCTATATTTAAGGTTAGTTTTTTTCTTTAATTGTTTGTTTTTGTTGATTTTGTATGTGGTTTTCTGGGACATAGCTTCTTTTGTGATTCTATTACATGTTTTTACTTTTGGATCAGTTGCATTTTCTGATATTATGCTTAATATGTGTTGATTGCCAATTTTCTGTTTTTTTCATTTAATTGCTACTTTATACTTTGCTTTGCTTCAGTTTCAATATTAAGTTTATGATAGTTTTTTAACATTTCTTTTAGTGCTCAATTGCTTGTTAATAAATTTGCACATTTTCGTCCATATAGGGATCTTTGGAGAAGGCATAGGAGGAAGGTTTTGGTTACAGCGGGTGTTTTAGGAAGTGGTTATTTTTTGTATAAACTATATGACGCTCACAAATGTAGGCTTACTGATTTGGAAAGGCAACTTGCAAGGAAGCAGGAGAACGATGAATTCATTAAAGCCCGGTAAGAATGATCAAACTATTGTGATCTTTGTGGAACAATTCACTGTTTTGGTTCTTATCTTTTCTTGTTTTGTAACTTCTAATAGAATGCAAGTCCATTTTGAGAACATTCAAAGAATAGCTGATACGACAACATTGCCTCATGCAATGCACTATTTAAGTTGTCGGATAGCTGAAGATTTGGACCTTTCACATCTTACAGAGAGACTGATGAAAGCGAAGGGTCAGCCCAACAGTTTGTCTTCTTCAGACAAACTTAAATTATGGGATAGACTCAAAATTTTAAGTATGAAGCCTTTACCTTTTGGTTTCTTAGTGTTTTGGTGTTTTGAATATTATAAATTGCAAGTTTCATTTGCCATGCTGGTGAATCCATTCTTTCATAATTGATATCTGAATTTTTTTTTTTTTTTTCAGGTTTTACAAGAATGGTGGTGTCAATATGGGCAGTAACAATTCTTAGCTTATATATTAGAGTTCAAGTCAACATTCTAGGAAGACATTTATATATTGATACTGCACGTGGTCTTGGAAGCTCTCATTTACTTGTAAGAGCATGGCATTTTTATCATAATAATAATGCCTTATAATACGTTTAATTCATCTATTGTTACCTACAGATGATTTGTGAAACTATATTGACTTCAGTTTTTACCTCTTATGCTGAATTTTTGAGAGTATTATTCTAGTCTAAATTTTCCTCTGCTAATGATAGCTGGCATAGCCAACAAATACTATTTTAGTTGCCTCTACTGTTTGTGTAAAGAGGAATTTTTTTAGATTTTTTTTTTCAGTAAGCTAGTATATTGAGGTGGCATAATAGAAGACTTGGGCTTCAATTTTTGAAAATGTTAGTTGATGCGAAATAATTGTGGGATATGCAGTCATGTATTAAAATGTTGCCTGTGTTTACATGTGACAAAATCCCTCAAGTGAATTTGGGTGCTCCAAAGATGCAGGAATTCAAAAGGGGAGGAGGTGTTCAGGGCTATGGAAGAGCTTAAGTAAATTAGGGTGCTTTTTGAACCTAACTCATACCTAGCAAATGTAGAAAGTGGTTTGCATCATATTATTTCAAATGAATTATTCATTATTTGGAAGTTGGCTTAAAATATGTGTGTGCGTGCGTGTGATTGTTAGATGAATAGATAGATAAAGTGTATTAATTTAAATTGCTATTTGTTGTTGTGCCTCTTTGTTTTGGGAGCTTATAGGGTTCTATTCTTTATGTTTTATTGATTGTCCTTTTTAATATTTTAGTGCACTTGTTTTTAATATACAAAAAAGGTGTTTTTTGGTGGATTGCCTTGCCTTCTAGGTTTTAAACTTTAAATTTTGGTTTAATAAGAGAGTTTCTTTCATGGACATATAGAAATTTGGCCGTTGACGGATACAAAATCCATGATAATTGGTGTGATTTCATATATGTTACTACCTGGATGCTTATCTCAACCCTTCATATTACTGCTATAAAGTTTGAATTGGTGCAGTTTTGCTGTAGAAGGCTACTTACATTACATGACCTGAACTATTATTGTTATTCACCTTACATATTGGCTTCTAAGCCTAAAACACTAAAACTGATCCATAGAGATTGAATGATACAACTATCAACTGAGAAAATGATAAATGAAAAAGGATCAAACTGGTGCACCTCAATATTTCTAATTATTGAATAACCTCATTGAGAGTTTTTAATAAGAATTTAGTACTTATAATTATTCTTCACTCAACTTGGTTTGATGGCTATTTGGGTGCTAAATGAGAATTTTAATTTTTGTATAATCCTGTATCTAAGCCAGTTGGAAGTATTGGCAGTGGTTGTTAAAATATTAAGATAGTAATGAGTACTTCAACTGATACTAGGTGCTGACTCTTCTAGCTGCAGTCTCAACCATATAAATAAATAGTACGTGATGTATTGCAGAGATTTTGTGGTGGGTTAAATACATCGTTTTTTTTGGGCATTGCTATGTGATTTTGAGTGTTCATTATTTTTCTATTGTTTAAGCCATCATCTTATCAGTAGGTAATATCACTGAATAGTCTCATTGTCGATTACTCTTATTAGACATGTTATATTTTCAGCAAATAAATCTTACTTAGCACAGTTTCAGGCATCTTTATCTGTATTGTTCTCTAAACACAATCTTCATTCCTTTCATGCAGGAGGATGCTGATCTCATTGACAGGAACGACCAGCAAAAATTTCTTGCAAGTACTGACTTTCTTGCCAATTATGGCTTGCCAAAATTGATTTCCAGTATGCAGACAGCAGTAACAGAAGTTCTGAATACGTAAGATTCAATTCTTTATCTTTTGTCTTTTGGTTTATTATTCTTGGAATTAGCATTGTTTTTATAGGTTAGCCAAAAATTATATGAGTTGGACTGGATACATAAATATTTTCCAAAAAAATAGCCATAAAATGGGTAAAATGGAGGAAAATAATTTATATAGCTGATCCAAATCGGTTTTGGGTTAAGGTTTGATTGAGGTGAGCATTTTCAATCGTCCATCTTCAAATTAGGTCTGATCTGTCAATCTGATCTTCCAGTTTATGGAAATATCCTTTGACATTTCTTCCCCTAATCAAGAAAGAATATAGTGTAATGTAAGATAATCTATAATGTATATATAAAAGTATAGCATCTGTATATGCTTCTAGAACTAACCCCGAATCTCTTTTGAATAAGATACCTCTCCCAGGATTGGCCTTCAAATAGTGCAATATACGGTAGACAGCCTGTAGGTGCGTCCCAGATCAGCCTTCCGCCACGGTTCACACCCTTGTGAGGTATTGTCCGCTCTGGCCCCCTGGCCTCACGGTTTTGTCCTACAAAAGGCGCCTCACAAGGCGGAGATGGTGTGAACCCTTTTATACCCCAGGGACCTTCCTATTATGTTCGATGTGGGATTCAGGACTCCCCCTTAGGTCCGTGACATTCTCCCGCACCCAACCTCGTGACGCCCTCGTCACGGAGGCCGGCCACCCTGCCTACCTCCCTCGAGGCGCTCGGCGTGGATCGAACGGTTTAGGGCTGGCTCTGATACCATGTGGAAATTGAATGTATATTGAAAAACTGCTTATCTACAATTATACAAGAATCTTAGGTTTATATACAACTAACTAGGGGTTAAACTAGGAAACTAAATCTTCCTTAATTCTAGGGATACAAATACTTAATTCTAGAGATACAAATATAAATATACAGATTACAAGATTACAACCAGCTGTAAATAAGTGTTTTCCCACAAAAAGTATAGATGTGGAGAATCTTTTGAACTGACAAACATGATTGGTCATTACATTTCTAATTTGCCATTTAAAAATTTTATTTTTTTAAGATTTATCCAATTTATAAATAACAACTTTACTTCCATTGAAGGACTTTCATTGTTGTTTATTATATTTGTAAATTGCTGTTTTAAAATTTTATTATTATAAATATTAATAAGCTTTATCCAATTGTTAATTTGAATTGTTTATACAATATGCAACTATGTATTCGATACATAATTATTATTTGAAAATAGTAAACTTTATGTTAATATAATATATTCTACACCTAAGACAAACTTAACATGTTAATATGCATGTAATTATATTTGTATAGCATACAATTATATATTCAATATATAATTATCTTTTAAAAATAAATTAAAAAATGTATTCACGTGCGAGGTATGCAATGACAAAAACTAGTGAGGTTAAAATGAGGTGATAAGGCACTCTAAGAAAGAATTGAAAAAGTAATGAGGATGACTATCTCGTTATGTGTTTGTGATGCTTCCTGCTCCCAAAAGTTAATCAATTGCCAACCCTAATGTCCTTAAAATGATGGATTTCTGGTATTATTTAAACACTCTTCAGATTATGCAGTTTTGCCTAAGTTTTGACCTTATTACCCTTTTATTCTAAGGTAGCTTTTGGTATCATTTTTAGATCATCATGGTAACATAATCACCGAGATGGTCTTAACCACCTTGGTGATCTTATTACTTGTGATTTGAAATCACTTTATTTGGTTAACAATCATTAATTCATAAGAATTAAAGATCATTGTATTTTGTATTATTAAAAATAAAATATTATTTTATTTAAAAGTGCGAAAATAACCATTTTTATTGTAATAATTACACAAGTTTATAATTTAAATGTTATTTAAATATAATAATTCATAAACTATAGTAATATTTTATTTATTTTATAATCAATATAAATTAAATTATTAAATATATTTATTTATTAAGTAAACTAATGTTTATAGTATAAATTATATAAAAAACATTTGAATTAGAAAATAAAACTAATCTATTAAAATCATAATAAAAAAATAAAGACATTATATTATATATAAAACATTAGAAAAAGTAAAAAAATATATACAAATTATTTTTGAACTTGTTATAATGAAAATTAGTTTGAAAATATAAAAATTTATAATATAAAATAATTACAATTTTAAAAAGAATAAAATTTTTAATTCACATATTAAATAGGTAATATTGACTATTACTAATTTTACATATCACTTTACTTTGATGATAAAAGTTTCGTATCCTTTTAGATAAGAATTGGGTCACCTTCCAAAATAATGATCTGATAGGATGAATATCAAGGTCTCCTCACATGGCTTGGAATTTGGGTATTTTCTTGCAGAAAGCAATTGAGGGACTTCTTCAATACTGCAATACTCCATCAAACTATCATGCAGATACTTGACATGTTCCTTAGCAAGGGAAGTCCTCATCAATGGGTGGACTGGATGATGCCCGAGGACCCTAAGTTGTACAAGCTTGCCCCAACATTGAGCAGTGATAAAACTAATCCTCCTGATGTTACACAATTTGATCAACTTATGGTTGAGACACGAGAAGTGCTTTCAAGGTATCATTAATACATTGGCCCAGAAAATGTAGTTTTACTGTGCTTCCTGTTTAGCAATTTATGAGTGTTAGAAGTGAACAAGTGGTGGTCTGTGGTCAATTGCATGGCTCCATTGCAACTCAACAAGGGCTTTCTTTAATGCCAACCATCCTTATTTAATAATTATGTGTTAAAGCATTGCTTGGGAAAAAGAATAGAAATAAAAGAAAACTGAAGATGCTAAAGCCTTAGATAATTGCCACTTTTTTTTATGGGTGGGGGGGGTTAAGTTTCTAGCTTGGGGGCATGCAGTGATTTAGGGTTACTATTGAGGTAATGATTGATCATGTGACCTAGAATATGTAATGAAGGGCCACCTACATTATGAAACTTTGAAGAGATTACAGGGCCTTGTGGGTGTAATGCTTCAAGTAGTAGGGCTTCAAACTTGGTAAACCTAAAACTTCACATCTGGGGTTCTTGGGGATGAGTGACTAGTGAATCGGAACATATCATTCATAAAAAAAGCTAGGAAGTAAAGAGTTGGACATGAGGGAGAAGAAGTGGGAAAAGTTGCCCTTGTTTGGATTTCCTAGAAAAGGACAAGGAAAAGATAGGAAGAGAAGGAGATGATAGCTTATCATGTTCTTGTTCAGTTATATCCTTAGTTAAAATAAAATGTTAGAATATGAATAATTTTTCCCATAAATTAAAGAGTTTTAAAGTGGAACCATGCCTTCCAAATCCTCCCAATTGGGAAAGTTTTAAAAAGTTAAGAGTTTTGGAGGGGTACATGTATCCTTCAAAATCCTCCATTTACACTAACATGTTTTCCACACAAGTCACAAGGGAGAGGGTACCGCTCTCCCTTCCTTTCATTTTACCTCTCTTGACCTCTATAAAAAAAACCTTAGTTCCCTTAATGGTGAGATGAAAAGTTAATTAGCCAATAAAACACAGGTTTTTAATAAGAATATACTATGTTCAGAAGCATCACATCAAATTCAGAAAGGCCTTTTGATCTCAGAATGATGTTGAGTGATGACAAACCCTGAAGCATGTATTTTGTGGCAGTTGAGAATTTTGATAACTATCCTATCATCTGGTTTTTCATCTTTTATTCTCCAAATTCATTGAACAGGAACCTGATAACTTTTTCCTTCTTGCTTGTAGTATGTTGAATAATTGTCATTTAGACTTCAAAAAGAAAAATTAATTATAGATGTTATCTGTGAAATATGTAGACACTGTCAAAATCTTAATCTCATGCAGGCAACTATTATGTGGTGTCAAGTTTACTTTTTCTTTCTCGTAACTTGTTCCTTTTGCCTTGCAGTGCTGAATTTGGTAGTGTTGTTGAAATATCATTAAAAGCAGTGGTGAAGGCAGTGGTGGAGGAGAAGGGCTTTCAATCTGGAGGAGGCAGTCTAACATCTGGGATGCCTCTAGCTAGACTTTTGCCACGTATTGCACAAATCTGTCCATCTTTGGTCGAGGAACCAAGCAAAAACCATTTTATCCAAATCATACAAAGTGTTCCAGAAGTTGGGCTTTTCTTCACTCTCCTCTATGCCAATATTTCAACCTCATAGAGAGCATGTTTGTACTTTTTTTATTTCACATTTAATTTTCATACAAATGGGGGAAAATGTAAAGATTCCAAATGGGGATAGGTTGTGAAAGCATACAGATTATTGCATTAGTTTGTTAAGTTGGTAATCTGGTGATTTCAATTTTGTAAATCGCCCATTTCACTCTTCGATGTTAAAATAAAGCCTGAGATTACATTTATCGTTTGTTTATCTACTTGGTGGACCTTGGCAATCATCCAAGGTCAACTTGAAGCATGTATTTGATTGGTATAATGCTGCTCATATTTCTTCTATGAACTCGGCATCAAGTTTGGACACTACGGATGGTGAAATTTTGAAGCAGTCAAGTTAATTTGCGCTAGTTCAATATCCAAGCAGCCCAAATCTAAGAGGAGCGATCAAAAAAGATGTTCGACTGTTAGTATTGAGTTATTTATCCTCCGCGTTTATGATTATTACTTTCAAAAAAACCAAAAATGAAGTACTAGAAGTCTACTGCTCTAGTCGACGTTGGGTCACATTTATGATAATTTTCTAGGAACTCGAAAGCATCATTATTCAAATTGCTACAACAGAGTGTTTTAAGCTTGGAATCATCATCCAATTTGTTGTTGTTGTAGTAGTAGTCCATTCCTATCTTCGTGGTGAAGGTGAACTTCATCTCCATTTTCAGTGGTATTTGGTGCAGGAACGACCCGTCCTACTTTAGGATACTTCTCCATGAATTTATATTCCCAATCCTCTAACACACCAAGCTCCTCAGCACTCAAGCCTTGGATGTTCCCTGTCAGATCTTCAGGTTTGAATGACAACATAGCCAAGGCCCTGCTCGGATCCTTCCCTGTAAACATCGAATAAGGCCCTCCACGCCCATAAAACATTCTGAAAAGTGAATCCAATCCAAAGTCATACAATTATCATAACAAATATAGAAACACAAACCCATTTGAAAGAACTGCAACATTTACGTGAATTCAATCAATTAAGATGAGAAAAACAAAAATTTTGGATGGAATGTTGATTACGTGGAGGATGAGACGTCGTAGATCTGGCCTTTGATGGCAATTAGGAGGGGCTTTTTGGGGTCAGAACCATCGTAAGCTCTTAGCTCTTCCTCCGTGATATCTCCCACCTGAACTGCCTCTTTTTGCGGCTTTTGATGAAAATCTTCCGGACCCAGAAACATGCCGCACACTATATTGTAGACAACCACCATCATGGCAAGTATTGTGAAGAACGCCGTCGGGGATAGCCCCGTCACCTCCGTCACCGACTCCATCACCGTCGAGTAAATTCCCATGACTTTTCTTTTTTAATTTTCTTCTTCTCGCTTTCAATTCTTAAAAAAATGAATTTGGAATTCGTGTGTTTCCTTCTTCTGATTTACTTGCAAGAATTTTTTAAGAGGGATGATCAAAGTTCACCTACCAAATCATTGACGCTACTGACCAATGACCCTACCTACCACCATGCTCTTTCATGATACAGAACTTTGCTTTGTGGGCTGGGCTTGTGGGCCTGAAAAGGCCTTTCCGTTAGCACCTTTATTTATGCGGAATTCAGAAATGTTTTTGAAAGAACAGAAACGAAAACGCTCTCCATTAGTCTCAGGGCTCTGCTGACTCTTTTTCCCAAAGATCTGTTGAGGTTAGCATTTTTATTTTCTTTATGTGAATTTTGAGAAAAAATTATGAATGGAAACAATATTTTGAATCTTTCAATCTAAGAATCGAATTTGGGACTGAAAAATTTTACTGCCTTTTCTGTTCTTCTATGTATACGACTAATTTGAGTGTCATTTTAGCTGGTTTATGTATTAATTTCGGATAATTGGCTATAAGATTTACAAAAAGTAGGTGTTGATTCATGATTGGATAGTGGGAATTTCAAATTTACCTTTTTTGGGGTATGTTGTTTTGCTATAATTTTGTATGCAGCAAATCTGCTTTAAAATACTGTATTAGTGACTGAGTAATTTCATGAGCTGCATTCATTTCAAGTATTGAAGCTCACCAGCAAATTGTAGCTCTTTTCCTAAGGGGCAATTCTATGTGTAATTACAAAGCAAATTATTTTTGGCTGTACTTGATCTTGAAATTTTGCTTTTTAAGATGATTAGCTTGTGTCCTTGTGATCCGGTTGAATGTTATAATACATAGTTTGGAATTATATGTTATAATTGTAATCTGGTTGATGCAAGCATAACTTTTTGAAGGATTTTTCCTTTTGTAGTCTGTTGTTATGGATCCAGAGGCCGCACGAACTGCCCGAGAATCTCTAGACCTGGCATTTCACATGTCAAATATTCTTGATACAGGACTGGATCGGCATACCCTCTCAGTCCTCATTGCCCTCTGTGACTTGGGTCTGAACCCTGAGGCCTTGGCTGCTGTTGTCAAGGAACTCCAAAGTGAACCCCCACCCTCACCACCATTGCCAACTTCTTCTTCACAAATCCCTTAGCCAGGTTTCTGTTTTTTGGTATTTTCTAGTAAACCTAGGAGTAATATCAAAGAAGTTCCAGCTTAATTTGTTTTGACTGCTGTCTTGGAATAGAAACATTGAATTTTCTCATCTCTAGCACTATTGTACTTAATGTTTACCTGTATTTATGTTCATTTTCAGGATCCGTCTATTGTTCTTAGTCTTCGTTCTTACATTCCCTCATTCTATTTTTGATTCATTATCTTAACCATCATTAGTTGTCTTTTCTTCATTGTGTTGGAGCATCTGAATAATGAAGTTGTTGCATCTGTATTTGGTTTGTATTTCTGAGAAATGGCCGCTATACTGTCTTTCCATTAAAGGAACATTTGCAGTCTTTTTCTAATACTACCTTCAGTTTGCTGAGCTTGGCTGGGTTTATAATTTATTGGTATTTTCTAACTGCTTACATGCTATTTAGGAGGAAGGAGAGGACCTGTGCAGATAGAATAATTACTGAAAATTAGCTCAATGAGCAATGCTTGTAATGCATGTATGGTAACAATAATTTAACAGAGTGATTGGCATTGCTTATCAGTTAGGCAGAGAAAAATTGAAGCACAATAATGAGCCAAAAAATAAAAAAAAAAATCAACTGAGAACACACAAAGAATTACTGAAAAAAATTATAAGGTAGTGTTCTCATTTTCTTTTGTTTGATGGGGATAAATTTGTATGTTTCTTGTGCCATTTAAAAGTTATTCGATTGATTAGAAAGGTAATAGATTTTGGTTGTCTCCTCATACATGTGCAAACAGATGCATGTATGCAAATATGCTTGCATGCATTTAGTAGCACAAAAACATGACGTGACACATCTACATATATCGTTCATAGAGAATGCTTGTGATGTAAATATAGTCCGATGTAAATGAAGTATCTATACTCCCGCCTACTTGACTCAATTGTGGATGTATTGTGGATGCATGTATTTTTATCTAAAAAAACTCTCCTTCAAAATTAAAAAGAAAAAAGAAAACAATTACCTACAAAAATAGAATTTGTTTGTTTTTCTATGTGAAAATGACTCAAGCCACAAAACCCATTCATATGCCCACTAGAGACACTATATTATATATTGGAAGGTCTTGTTTGATAAATCATTAGAATTTTTCATTGCATTGAAAATGAAAAATTTTAACATTTTAATTTTTTTCTATACGTTCAGTGACTGCCACACCATAAGTCTAATAAGTTGATCATTAAACACAAAGCAATAAAGCCTTACCGATTAGTCACTTAAGTAAATTTATGTACTTAACTAAGAGACTTTAAAGAGAATTAATTATAATTTATTTATTGTAAATAAATTTAAGAGTATGGTTATATGTGGGAAAAAAATTAATATCTCACATCATCCATCCTAAAATGTTATCAATTAATTATATATTACATTAAATGTTGTCTTAATTAAATGCTTTTTTTATTTGCAAATTTTATTTTTTGTTTGACTAGTAAATAAAAAAAATTTATAGGAATATTTTCAAAATTTTTCCAACACTTTTGACAAAATTTAAGGAAAATTCTTCAAGTAATAATTCTCAAGAAAATCACCACTTATATTTTTCTCTTAATTTCATTCTTGAAAATTTTTATTTACTATATTGTTTGTTAATTAATAAATTTTATGAGAGAATAAATAAAAATATTTTATTGAAAATGTTTCAAAAATTATTCCGACACTTTTGGCAAGATTTGGAAAAAAGTTTCACCTAAAAATTGTAAAAAAGTTTACTTGTGATTTTCTTTTAATTTCATCATTGAAAAGTTTTTATTTATCATTTAAAATATTACATGATTTATGTAACAAAAGGAAAAACAATTATCTATTTTTAAAAATAAATAAATAAAAATATTTTTATTTAAAAAACCTCAAAATCTTTTCATTATTTTTGGTAGAATTTTTAAAAATTTTCTTACTTAGAAATTATCAAAGAGATTATCGCTAATGATTTTTTTAATTTCATCATTAAAAAAATTATTTGCTTTCAAAGTTTATTAATTAATTAAATTAAATTGTACAAAAATAAAAGTAATTGAAATTATTTCATGTATAAAAAGAAAAAAGTAAATAGAATAGTTACATAAAAAATAATTGAATAATCAAAATAAACTAAAAAATGTAAAATAAAATTAAATAAATAAATTATAAATATAATACCCATAGCCTGAAAAGACCAGTAATTGAATGGTTTCAATTCAAGACTGGTACCTTGGGTTCCATGCAAAGAACACAATACAATCTTAAAACAACCACCGACCCCACCATGAGCCGGGATTAGAAACACAAGCAGCTTGGGAAAACAAAAGCTGGAGTCGTGCTTTCTGCAACCAACTTTTCTCTTTTTTTCTTGACTTTCTTCGTTACAACACGTTTGATTAGAGGAATTACAATTTTGTTTCCTGTTAGGGTATTTAGAGGTCCAAGAGGGTATAATAATCTTTTTATTATTAGGGACCTTTGGTAGACAGCCAGAACCAAAGGTATTTCAAATATATTAGGTCAGCCTAACACATTTAATATTGCATCAACTCGACCACATTATTATTGTCTCCCATTATCCCATTACCTTTCTTCTATAAACATAGACATTCATACATTATCATCCCATGATCCATCCTGTTTTAATCCCTTATCTTTCTTTCATTCCGACTTCTTTCATTATGATTTTTGACTTATGTGTCAAAATGCAAATGTAAGGAACACTCTCTGCCTTTGCACCTTACCGTTCTCTTCTAGTCTTTTGTCCTTTTAGGAATACCCTCACATAAGAGCTCGACACAAACATTTGGCATGCCAGGTAGGGATTTTCTATTCATTAGTTGAGTATAAGACAATACCACCTAGGAAGAGAACTTTAGAGGAAGGAGAGACGGTCGTTTTGGTCAGAGCAGAAACGCACAATAGCCAGCACTTGGATTGACTTGCCCCATAATAGGCTAGTTCGACCATAAAATAGTTTCAATTTCTGACCGAGCGAATACAGGCTCTCAAACAAATGTTATAGACTATAACTCTACCATAAGCTTTGAAAATACCTGACTTAGTTACTTTTGGCCAAGAAGCTGTGGAAAGAAAATCGAGCTATGAAAATGTGGAAGCCTTTTTAGTCTCTAGAGAAGCAAAGCAGACACTCTTGCTCACCACCACCCCAGTCACAACTCAACACACGCCACGACTAAAAAATCAAAATAAACTAACCTAGAACCTCAACCAAACAAAGACTTAGAAGCTTTGATACAAGTTATGGAGAAAGAGTTACAGGCAAAGGTGATGGCTTTTGTGGATGAGTTCAAATTTTTAGAGACCTTACCCTTCACCTAGGAGATCGACAGAGCTATACCTTCGAAAGTGTCAAAATGTCGACCTTATAAACTTATGATAGTACTTCTGACTCCTTCGATCATCTGAAAATTTATAGAACTAATATGATGATGCATGGTGTAAACGAAGCTCTGATGTGTAAAGGCCTGCTACTACCCTCAATGGCATAACTTAGTCCTGATATAGTAGTCTAAAACCAAGGTTGATCGCAATGTTTAAAGAGATCAACCATTCATTTTTATCTTGATTTGTAAGCAATCGAAGAACAAAGAAGACAACGTTAAGCTTAATGTTAATTCACCAAAGTTGTAATGAATCTTTAAAAAGTTATGTCACACATTTTAATGTGAAATCCCTACAGGTGAAAAACCTGAAACAAATGGCCACTTTAACCACCTTAACAAGTGGACTCAATGATAGAGAATACCATTTAAAGTTAACATTATCATTAGAGCCACTTAAGACTTTGGTTGACATCTTGTAGCTGAAAAATATATAAATGCCAAAGTTATAATAAGAAATAACCAAGGTGAGAAAAGCTCATCCCTATTTTATGGTAATAAGAAAGGTAAGAATTTCTACAATCATCCTTCAAAAAGGAGACGACATAGGCAATGAGCCCTAATAGAGAAAAAAACTATATTGCATTGAATTCCTCCAATGAGAGGATTTTGATGCAAATTAAGAAAAATCTGAAACTCAAATGGCTTATGCCACTAAGGTAGAATATGATGAGGGATTCGACCAAAAGATGTGCCTTCTATAGGGATATAGGTCATAACACCAAGAACTGTGTCGACCTCAAAAATAAGGTTAAAGCTCTAATTAGAAGAGGTTAGTTAAAGAGGTTTATAGACCAACAGAGATAAGGGTATACCAGATCGAATTACAGATGGGACCGAAGAAAGTCCACAAGAGATAGAAAAAGTAGGCCAAAGGAAATAGGATAGAAAAAGTTCAAGAAGATGAGCAAAAACAAAAAAAAAGGCTGAGCTAACATTAATAAGTCGATTGCTAGAGTGATTAATATGATTAATGGAGGGAACTCAACCTCGACCAAAAAAAAGTCTAACCTAAGTATGATCATGGCCATTGGTTCTTTAGTAAAGAAAAAAAATGACTAGAAAGACAAATTGACCTCATTCAGCTCAAAATTTTGAAAAGAATCCAATACCCCCATGATGATGTTATAGTAATCACAACTGTGGTGTATAATTACGTGGTTAAGAGGATCCTGTTTGATAACGTAAGTTTAATCGACATCATGTACTATGCCACAATGAAAAAGATGGGTATCAAGAAAGATTAGTTGCAACCAATCATCATAACCCTGGTAGGATTTAGGAACAAGCAAGTACCAATGAAATAGACTATCAAACTATTGATCTTTTTAAGGGTAAAACAATGATAGTCACCTCAGTCATAGAATTCATAGTAGTTGATGTCTTATCTACCTATAATATGATATTGGGTCAACCTAGCCAATCCGTTATGCGACTGATAGACTCAGCTCCCTGTCTAAAGATAAAATTCTCAACACCTTAGAAGGTTGGAGAAGTGAAGGGAAACTAGTCTACGATGTGATAGTGTTACATCACAATAATCAAAGAAAGGACTAAGAAACAGATTGGTAGTTTGACTAAGACTAAGAATATTGAAAAAGAAAGACAAGCAACAGGAATCGAGGAGAAGCAAGAAAATAAAAGTAAAAACTTACAACATAAAATTGACTTGACAGAAGCATGCTCGTAACCTGTTTTAAGCTTTTAAGCTCTAATAAAAAATACACCTTTTATATTATTTTTTGAACTTCTGAATTGATTTTAAAGGTGATCAAGCTTTTAAGTCGGCACAAATGTTTACATGCCATATAGACCAAGTTAACACGCCGACCAAAATAAAAATTGAAATGAAAAATACATTTTATTCAACCATATGTTTTGATTACTTATCAATGATATATTAATCATCATGTCGGGATCTGTTTTCATTAGAAATGATCTCGACCTAACTAAATAGAAAGAAATAATTGACCAAAGACCTAAACCATATGAAAATCAATTTGAGCTAGCAGAAGACCTTGTGTCTATACTGTTTTGGAAAAATATTCCTACAAAACACGTGTAGATCGAGACTAAACTTCAACTCAAAGAAAAATTAATTCAGCTCTTGAGAAATAAGGCCTACTTATTTGTATGGATACCGTCTGACATGCCTAAGAGTGATACCAAGGTGATTGTTCATATGCTACACACTAACTCAGACATGAAACCAGTTTGGCAAAGAAAGGTGACCTTTACCCCAAAAAGATAAAAGGCTATTAAAAAAGAGGTTGACATATTATAGAAACTAGGCTTCCTCATAGAGGTTTATAACCCTGAATGGATAGCGAATGTGGTCATAATTAAAAAGCGCAATGAAAAATAAAAGATATATGTTGGCTTTACCGACTTAACAAAGCATACCCAAAAGATGATTTTTTTCTTCTTAGCATAAATCGATTAGTTAATGA